GTAAATGTAAAGTTTTAAATATCTGTATTAATAAAAACAAAATTTTATTTCCATACAGTATTTGTAATCATACTTTAGACAATGTAAATTCTCATTGTGATCTTGGCATAATTATTGACTCTAAGCTTAATTTTAACGCCAATATTAAACATATTTATTTTAAAGCCAATAGGATGTTAGGACTCGTCAAGCGAAATTGCTGGCATATTAATAATGTAAATACCCATATCCCTCTGTTTAATTCCTTAGTTAGACCGCAAGTTGAAACTTGTACAGTTATTTTTAACAGCATCAGTTCAACACAAGCCTCTAAAATTGACATTACTCAACGCCGCTTCGTTAAATTTGTTTCAAGGGTATGTAATGTTCCAAAAAGTAATTTCCTGGATTTAACATTTTTATTTAAATGTGTTAATGGTATCTATGGTAATTACTTACCATCTTTATTTGGTATTTCTGTTAAACCCCGTAGGTACCGTAATACCTTTACTGAATTTTTCACAATTTCTTTTGCCAGAGTCAATGTTACAAAAAATGGTTTAATCAATAGATTACCTAGCTTACAAGATACAAGATACAAGATACAAGTCAACTTTATTGTCAAAATAATACATTCTGAGATATTTGTTGTACATGACATAGAATTATGTCATGTATGTATAACATGTATAACAATCTTAGCAAAGAAGATAATTCCATAGATGTATTTTATAATAGTGTAGAAGTATATAAAAAGAATTGAAATAAAATAAAAATAAAATAAAATATTAGAATACAACAAAACACTTACCATTGGCAAACGAATATCTAACACACAAAATAACACCGATCGTCTGCACTACGTTCTGAAACATGTTGAAAAAATGGAAACACGAAACAGTCAACTCCTCTCAGTACGATATTTATTTGACATAAATATGTCTAATCGAGCCACAATTGATTACACAGAAATCAATGTTACCTAGGCTTCATGTTTATCATTTACAAACTAGAGGCTATCGCTTTTGTTCTTGGGTATGGACAGGTTATCCTCGTTTGTCTCCACTTAGGAGTCATGAGCACCAGGGCCGTATCCAGGATTGCCATGGGCGAGGGGAGGGCGTTGCGGGGGTGTGGAAAGCCCAAGCTTTAGCTCGGGGTCAGGGAGCTACCTAGGGCCCTCAGGTACCGGTAGGGGGCGAAGCCCCCGGAAGCTCTGGTGTATATAGCCCTTTTAAAGTCGTATCTAATTGATTTTACTACATTTTCAAAATTTAGTGGCGGATCCAGGAATTAGAAATATAGGGGGCCTAGGGAGTTTTACAGATGGAGTGTACCAACTCAGCCCCACCATGGTTGGGGCTGAGGTAAGAAAAATAATTATGGCACATCTAGTTGTCCGAAAATAGCATATATGATTTTCTATTTTTTTTACTTTTAAATTTAGAAAAGTTTAGGGAGGATTTTTTTTCAATTTATACTTGTAATCATAATTATGCCCGCTTATATATTTCGTGCAAACTAGCATTCATAAAATAATGATTTATTATCTACTTATTAGCTTGTAACCTATTAAAGCCATGAAAAAACAAATAAGATAAAATTAAAACAGTCACTCTACTTTGCATGTATAGGTAGGCCTACTTTTAAAATCAATCTAGCGGTCTTTCCTTTCCCCTCTTTCTGAATTTCACTTTTGTGCAAGTATATACTACACTATTGTGAGTGGAAATACCCGTCTAATTTACGACCAAACAGGACCAGGGAGAATGGAGATAATAGGAAGCAGACAAAACATTAGCATTTTTATTTCACAAACATAAAGATGATTTACTTAAATTGTTATTATCATGACGTCATGGCGAGATTGCGTCAACGTAAACTAGTGGTATCACTAGGCCTACTTATATAAGTTGGTCGATAGTGAAAATCAGGGCCCCTGTGACCATTTTTTCGGGGACCAAGGTTTCTCTACTGATTTAGCATCACTAGAGTATAAATACAAAATTGAGCTGGGGTGAACTAGGATGGCAGCCATTTTGAAATTCAAGGTAGCTGCCACAAAAACCGTCGAAAATTGAATATTTTGGTATGTAATTCCACTTCTCAATCAAAAATGGTAAATTTGGTGTTTAATCATATGTTATTGTGCCCTCCCTCTGAGTTCATTAAACATGGTTTCATAAAGCTAGGATGGCCTTTTACAAATGAAGATGGCCGCCACAAAAACCGTTGAAAATCGAATACTTTGGTAATTCCAATTATCATCAATTGAAAATGGAAAATTTGGTCTAATCACATGTTATTGTGCCGCCTGTGTTCAGTGTTCATAAAAAAGCTAGGATGGCTGATTTTGAAAAACAAGGTGGCCGCCAAAAAATAAAATATTTTGTTTTTATAATTCCCCTTATCTCAATCAAAAATGGTAAATTTTGTGTGTCTAACCACAAAATCTTCAAAAATCATATTTCGTTTTTATAATTCCACTTCTCAATAAAAAATGGTAACATATTTGTTGTTTACTAATATGCTATTGTGCTCTCTGAGTTCAATAAAACATAGTTTCAAAAATTAAGGATGGCAGCCATTTTAAAATTCAAGATGGCCACTACAAAAATCGTTGAAAATCAAATATTTGTTTATATAATTCCACTTCTTGATTTATTGGACACTCTGAGTTCAATAAATAACAAACTAATTATTTCAAAAAGGATTACAGTCTTACTTATTTCCAGTCAGACATTATTATGTTCACATTTTGGCTTATAAAATACAAAATGTGATAATTATCAGAAATGAATAGTATTATTTTATACCATACAATAAAAATGTCTGGTTAGATTAACAAAGAGACGCAAATCAATTTTCAGTACACGCTTATTAACTGTGTAAACTCACTGGAACAATTGAAAATCATTAGCACAACTATGTTAATATACTTCACGTCATCAGAAGACGAATCCTCACTTGTTTTGTCATCACTCTACTGTCTTTATCAGATAGGGAACGGAGATCAAATGGTCAAAAAATACCTAATACACATATAACTACAAGACCATTTTCCATCCATAAAGAAAAGAGTAATTACAAGTCGAGAATACAAGGATTTATTAAAGAAAGTTGAGTTTAATTACTTTGAATTGACAGTGCTTTTTGGAAAATGTGTTGATGTAGCACATAATAGTGAGATGACAGAGTTGATTGTAATTGTATGGCTTGGTAGTCATCAAATGGCAGAAATCATAATTAAACTTCATCTTATGGCCGGCTGTTATAGCAACTCTTGTCTTTTTTGGACAAGGCTCTTCGGGAAAATGAAGATGCAAAAATCTGCTGAAATCCTGTGGCGATTCTATTGCTCGAACAAACTTAACAATTGAAAAACTTACCAAGTCTTAAAGTTTATATACAATGATAATAATAGCAAACCACAACAGAGGCAAGTCACTTGCAAGATTGCCACCAGACACAGATTCACTACATCAGCACAAACAAGCAGAAACCAAAGACCAACCCCCCCACCCACCATAATTATCTATTTAAATATTGTATATCAATAACTCATTTTTAACAATAATCATTTGTGATGGGAAATGGAATTATAAAAACAAAACAAAATATTTTTGGGCGGACATCTTGAATTTTAAAATGGCTGCCATCCTTAATTTTTGAAACCATATTTTGGACTCTGAGAGCACAATAACATTATGAGTAGACACCTAATTTTTTAAACATTTTTGATTGACAAGTGGAATTATAAAAACAAAACATTTGGTTTTCAACGATTTTTGTGGTGGCCATCTTGTATTTCAAATGGCTGCCATCCCAGCTTTTTGAAACCATGTTTATTGAACGCAGGGGAACAATAACCTATGATTAGACACAAAAGTTTTACCATTTTTGATTGAGAAGTGGAATTATAAAACAAAGTATTTGATTTTCAACGGTTTTTGTGGCGGCAATCTTGTATTTAAAAAAAAAAACACGAAGGAAAAAAATAACATTTCCAGCCACTAGGCCTGATGAGATAAAGCATCAAAATATTTTTCATTTATCTAATTTTAAGAGGGTCACTGAATATAAACCAATCTTCTAAGATATGCGTAAAAATTGGTTGATTTACACATTCATTCAGTTTGTCCACATTTGCAAGGCAAACTGCAAATAATATACAAGTAAATACAAATATCATACTATATACTGTAAATAGAAATAACATACTATATACTGTAAATAGAAATACCATAATTATATAGGTCTATTTAATATAGACGGTTCAGAGTTTTCTGCATCTCTATATTGTATCATGATTATAAAAGAATTATTATAAAGGAAAGAGTCTTTTGAAGATCCCTTGTCGTTAAATGCCTAAAGATGGAATATTATAAATTGGTCTGATGCAATTGCAATGCATTAAGAACATGCAAGATTGTGAATATCAAGTTGCTTGTGCAGAGACAGAAAATGGTCGCTCCTCGTGTTCAAACCAAAGTTGGGGGACGTGTTTCACACTCACCGATTCCTAATGAATGAATTGAAAAAGGACTAATTGTGCGTTTTCGAGTGGATGATGAGAGTAGAAATTTAAATGTTGATCAGTCTTGTATGCTTTATGTACTGTATACTGATACTATCGTATCTGTACACTGTAGTGACACTGCCGATAAATAGAATGAAAATGAAGTTCATGGGTATTCCCTATGCTGTTGCTCAGGTGAACACTGATCATTGGTGACGCATCTTTATGCAAATGTGGGTAAAGCCTGATTCCAAAGAATCGCTACAGCGTTTTAACTGCAATCCTTGCACTGCGTAGCTGTCCCTGACGTAATCGGGAATGCTCACTGACTCAACGGACCAATCAGCATCACCGAAAGAGTTGGCGAGAGCACGTAGTGATTTTATGGAAACCAGGCTATAATGGCCATATTCCATCTATACAGTGTCTTCGTGAACTTCCAATTACTGTATAGACAATAGGTAACACACTGATATACTAAATAAAAATATAAAAACACAAATTACATTCCATATGAATTTTAATGTCCGCATAACTTTCCATTATTTCAACATTCAAAATTCTTTAAAAAATTACAAAGGTTATTGGCGATTGATACACTTAAAGCGGTTTATTTTTGTAAAAACCAATCAGGTATTAACTTCCATATTATGTGATATCAATTCAGGACACAAGATCTTCCTTATGGTAAATGAAATGGAACAAATATAATGAAATTATGTAAGTATATTCAGAATTAAAACAATACAGGTCTCCCTCCAATTAAAGACCTTTTTTGGGAACCGGTGTTTCCTTGGTATCTAGCAGCTTTGGTCTAATTAGAATAATAAAGATAAAAAACATTTGTTAATATGGGACCACAGAAATATGGTCTATAATTGGAGGGGTCTTTAGTTAGTGGGAGGCCTGTATTATATCATTCATAAAGTATGCCATAGAAAAAAGTAAAAGTAGTGATAATTTCATGATTAGTTAGTAGATGAAAGTTGACATCTTTAGGTGTCTGTCTAATGCCAAAATGTCGAATTATTGATATAACAAATCTGTATATTGCTCTATTTCTTCTTTTCGATTCTTTTCGCTGACTCATCAAACTCTTTATCTGAGACGTTCAACATTAGACTGCCAGCGTTCAAGTATACACGATTCTGAGAGGAGGCCACCTGAAATATTAGAAATATGTAAAATATTTATTGCTGATAACAAATTAAATTAAATTAAAAGAAAATGTAGATTCCCAGACTAACTCTTTGAAGTTTACCAGAGCTGGTAAAAAATTACACTGTATCAGCTTCAAGTACTTACAGTTCTTGCAATGTTCTGAGCAGCTCTAATCTTCCTCAGCTTCAGGTAGCCAGGGTTCTGAGAGATGGCCTCTCCAAGGTGGACAGAAACATTAAGGATTAACACAAAGTAAATGAAAATTAAATAAAATGATCAAAATAAACCAGTATGCTTAAAGTAAATGCTATTGTAACTACTGAGCTCATGCCATACAAGTGATTCTCCATTGGATCGGATAAAGACTATAAACTGTAGACACAGTGTGCACAATTTGGCTCATATGCACCTTAGAGAACACAGTACATCTTTGGAGCTCAGACATCCTTAGCGGAGAAGCAAGTTACTGCACGAGCTAGGCCACACTTCGAGTGCTTTGAGACTTCGGAAAAAAGCTACATATTTATTCAATTACATTACATCATCGTACAAAAAAATAGCGAGATGATCATCTCAAAGCTAGTAATGTTTTGTGAATTAGGTGGGAGATTGTCAGTGGTTACAATTTAGTTGAAACTGGTTGAAGTTTGCCAATAGAGAAGTTTCACATGCGAACGAATACGTATACGCATACATTTGGCTTTCTGTAACGGTCGTAGCCATTCTGTGTTTTTTGCAATCACAGTGCAATTCAAGCATAGCCTAGGTCCTAGGGGCTTAGATTAGGCCTACTAGTACTATATTCTGTTCTCTTCTCTCATTATGCTTTCTCAAAGTTTTATTAGTATATGTAAGGTTTTGGAAATTGAAAATTGTAGCTGAAAAATACAAACAATACCTTTGTTGCACAGAACTGTTGGATATTTTGTGATAGGCCCTATTGTTTATGACCCAAAAGTGCCTGGTGTCAAGTAAAAGCCACAAAATGAGAATGTTCATGGAGCATGATCTATTTCCAAGATTTTACTTTACTTATTTTGTATTAAAAAAATAAAATAATTAAAATAACATATCCTACAATAATTTATAAATTTTGGCTTGCATGAAAAACCATCAGATTACCAAAGATAAAGGCACATATCTACGAAAGACACCATGATCACCACCTAGCCTAGTTCCAACCCTCACAAAACCCTCTCTCCCCAACCAACCCACATGTCTGACCATCAAGATCCAGGCCAGCCATGTCTTAGGCTGACCCTCTGTGCTTCAGTCATGATTTGTATCGATCTGACCTTACAGCAGGTGTGCAGACTTTGGCCAACACCCACCAAGATTACAGACCGCTCCCAAACAATCTACTCTGGTTTCTCACGGGAGTTCTAGGCTCGGTGGCTTATGAACTGGTATCTGTCGCGGTTCACCTGTGCAATACTCATCATATGATTTACATGCAAGAAAGAAGTTATAAATATTATATAAAAATACCAACAATGTGATCATCTGTTATTAACTCTTACTAAATTCTGACAGATGTGACGACTATGTAAACAAAAAAATTAATTAAAAAAAAATACACAATATATTGAATGAAAAGGATATCATAATAGCTGACTCAGCTTCTCCCTCAGCCTGCACCACCTTCTGTTGTCGTTCCTGCTTTGCTTTCTCTACAAGAAATTGCGCCCTCTGGGCTTCCTGTTGAGCAACCTGTTTAGACTCTACTGCAGCCGTATATTCCCTTCCAAAACTAAGCTCAGTAATTGAGACATCATCAAGGACTATGTTGAAGTCTTTTGCTCGATTCGTCAATTGGCGTCGGATTAGCAAACTGACCTGAAAAATCCCCAAAGAAAATAGTTAAACTTGTATAAATTCATTGTTGTTGTAAGTCAGCAGAAAGTAGTCATTCTGCAAATTATTAAAAAAACCACCAAAAATAATTTTAACATTGTTTGAGGAGTAGTTGTCAAGTGTACTTGCTTCTGCGTGTGATATCATTACATTCAATAATAATTTACCAATTTATATTTTGCATGAAAAACCATCAGATTACCAAAGATAAGGGCACATACAGTATCTATGAAAGACACCACGATCACTACTTAACTTGGTTAAGTGGTGATCGTGGTGTCTATGAAAGACACCACGATCACTACTTAACCAAGTTCCAACCCTCACAAAAAAATTCTCTCTCTCACCAACCCATGTGTCCCGACCAAAAGATCCAGGCCAGAAACGTCTTAGGCTGACCCTCTGTGCTTCGGTCCTGATTTGTATCAATCTGACCTTACAGCAGGTGTGCAGACTTTGGCCAACACCGCTCCCAAACAATCTACTCTGGTTTCTCACGAGAGTTCTAGGATCGGTGGCTTCAGTCGAGTTTCATCTGTGCGATACTCATCACATGATTTACCATGCAAGAATACTCTTTGGCATACATCAAGATTAAAATATTTTGATGTGTTTAGAAAAGCATGTTAATAAGTAGTGGAAATGGTTTGGCACAGCAGGAACGGTTTGGTTTCCCAACCTCGAAGTTGGGGTTTCAATCCCTCGCTGTGCATTTCACTTACAAGCGTCCTTGGGCAAGGCATTTTATCTGCATTGCTTCTCTCCACCCAGGTGTATAAGTGGGAACCTGGTAGGGTTAAATGCCAAAATGCGCTGATGTAGCTGCTGCAACATTATGGAATATTCCCCCTGGGAGCATGAGTTTGTGTTCCATAGGCATTTAATCCAATGACCGGAGTAATGATAATGTGAAGCGCATAGAAGGCTTAACAATATGCTCTATATAAGTCTAACAATAACATCATTCTTATTATTATTATTATTATTATGATTATGTAGCAATTCAGCTATTTAATTACATTAACCAGATACCAGCTACATTGCTTGTGGTTTTTGATAAGATGCTTTATATTTATTTTTGTTGGGCATAACTTGGTAATAAATAGATCGCTGGGATAGAGTGAAAAATACTGGATGAAATTGATTTGTAGAAGCGGTTTGGCGCAGCAGAAATGGTTTGGTCTTCCAACCGTCTCTCTGCCCAGGAGTATACAGTAAATGGGTACCTGGAGGAGCTGCCTGCTCCTGTGCCGATTACCAGCAACATTTAAGCATGTGGACCCAATGACCACAGAAAAGAAGCACTTTGCATCTACAAAGAAAAGGCGCTATATAAACAATAATAATAAACAATAATAATTAAATAATAATAATAATTGCTGCGAAGCAGCCAATTCATATTCTTGACAGCAATTTGTCCTCTGAAATGTCATTGTTTGTCAAAAAACGAGGGCCTAAGACGACAGAAAAGCAGAGCTTCCTTCTTTCGTTCTGCCGGGTAAAATCAATTACTTTAGGCGATGTTTGTAGACTAACCTACACGTACCAACGTCCGCATGTCGCAATGCTCGAGTATTACTATTCAGCGTTTTTACTATATTTCTAGGTTTCCTATTTCTAAGTTTAATCGGCCCATGTCTCAGCCACAATATTTTGAGGCCAATATTATTTACGAACCCAGTCAAACTTATTTACTAGCCTATATCATCGTGCTAATTATTACATTTAGGCGACGCTTGTTGTAGACTGGCATACACGGTACCAACGCTTATTTTACTATGTTTCTACGTCAGCTCGTCAGTGTTCTAATATAGACAATGGTTCGTGTCTCATATTATTTGATATATATTTATTATTCATTATTTTCACTTGACTCGCATAAATAATTTTGTTTGAAGAACATTTATATGCAGTTGTACTTCGCACTTCACTTGCAATTTGCAATTTCTAGTAATAAATATTATAATTTGTGCATAATTCCATGCATGACTAGGCAATCCCTGTTTCAGCTGGAGGGCTGATATGCAAGTAACTATCAAAGAAAATTTGGCCATTGGTTCTTTGTATAACCCTCATCCCTAACTTTATTGGGACTGAGTAGACTGAGTATTTTTTTAAATATATAAAATAGAATTTAAGCTTGAATACAAAACTTGCTCATGATAACAATAACTCTACTGTCGCGTCTTAATTGCCATTAATAATTAATACGTCCTCAGGAGTTATTCAATACTTGTTGAAAGAATGTTTGCTGACCTTGGCAAAAATCAATATATTAGCTCAAGAAATGTCTCTATTATACTCAACATTAGAAATATCAGTTTTGAAATCCTCCCCCCTATTTTCCCACCAATTTATTAGATGCATCATTTTGATGATATGCCAGATAAAATTTCAGAAAAGTATGTTTGTACATAAAAATTTGTTTTGGCTCACAGGAAAGAACTTTAAAAAAGGTCTGGAATTCAACGTGTTAACAACAATCAATAACTTCATCTGATTTCTTGTCTATATATAAACCCATTTTCTTTTGTGAAAACCAGCCAAAAATTAGTCAAAACTTACCGATTTCTAGCTGTTTTACACAAAAGAAAATTTGTATAAATAATAATAAAATAAATATTAATAATTTGAGTGATAATGATGATGCCATTAGTGATTATTTTGAACTGGTGATGATTATATTGATCATGATAATCAAAACACAACTTTTATTTTCGTGTGATTACTTTATCCTTAATATAACATTGGTTTTAAGCATCACAAACGGGCCTCACAGCTACAATAAAACACTAAAATTGACATGATGATTGTTAAAAAACACCAGATAATATCTTCATCATTAGTATGTGATGAAAAGTCCATTAAAAACCATTACTGCCACAGAATATGCAAACACTGATTAGACGTGCATTAAAAATTATGAAGTCAACTGTGTTTGGTTTGTTTTGTTTGTGTAACTGTAATTTAATTTGGATTTATTATTATATATTTTCGATATACTAATGAGCCCAAAATTTCTAGGTGAAAGAGAGGCATTCAGCAATGAGTAAATGTCGTTGTTATGTTATGTCAGAAAATAATGTTAACACAATGTTACATCATAGACACATACATGGTTCTATAAAACAATTTTAAAACACATATTAAAAGGGTCGTTCAACATTATGAACATTTTCACACGTGTACAAACAGTACGCTAGAGGGAGGGGGTAGACAAATTTTTACACTCTTACATATGCATAAAAATGTTGATTCAAAATAACATGCAGTATGTACAAAAATGGTAAAATTATAATGTAACTATGGATATAATATTTATTTTTAAGCAACCAAGTACTATGTAAAATAATGGTAAAATTATAATGTAACTATGGATAATATTCATTTTTAGGCAACCAAGTACATTGATTTTTTGTTGACTTCACAAAAAAATTGAGAATGGTTCTGCAAAACCTTAATTTTTTTTACACTTTCAGAGGGGAGGGAGCGGGTACCGGAAAAAGAGTACAGTTTGTACCAGGCCAGCCACTGCATTGTAAGACGTTTTATACGACCGTCGCACCGTCTAACTCCGCTTCTGGTGTGCGCTAGATGATGCGGTGCCATCTGCTGACTGTCGGTGGCAGTCTGCATGGATCGTCATCCAAAACGGTCGGTTGCACGCGTGTCATCGCGTTGCGCTGCATTAACGACCGTCGCGTGCAGTAATGACAAAATATACAATTATTTTCATCTTACCTGTTGACGTTGGGTGATCAGCTGCGAAGCATTAAACTTGGCAACCACGCTCTTTAAAACCTGAATACAAAAAAAAAATTACTTAAAAAAAATTACTTAAAAAAAATATAAGCATAACCTCCCTAATTAAGGAAAAAATCTATTCGGTATTACATATAATAATGTATAAAGAATCAATCACCTTTGTGGTAGTGAGCTGTTTCTCATTTATATGGGGTTTGCCATCCCAAAACCAGTATCAGTACACATATGCTCCAAATGTTTCAAATTGATAGGTCATTTACTAGAATCAACTTACCACAGAAATTATAAGTAAAAGTATTACGGCTTCCCTGTACTACTAAAGTATACAATACTGCCAGATTTAATATGCTATTTATACTCAGTTTTGGGATGTACACTGGGCCTACGGTTTATAGTCCCTATCTGAGAAGACTTACTGAACCTCCAGAGCCATATGCGAGCATGCCATTTGAACCAGGGCCTATAATATGGCTGTAGGCCCATGAAACGACCGCTCGACTCATACAGAGTACATTGAATGAATGCAGTACATACGATGAATAAATATTTGACCAAGTTTGATGAAGTTGAGTTTAATTTTAAGTAGGTGTAACGTCCTGGTAGTAATTCATTAAAAAGACATGTCCCCTTAATAGAGGGGTGTCTCCAGAGTAGGGGTTGGCTGTGATTTCAACAGAGTATTTTCCCATCGTTCGTAGTAAAAAAAAAAGTAGTGTTCTCTTAATATGAGTGTTACCTGAAAAGGGTTATCCCAAAGGAGGGGTGTTCTACTGTACCTCATTACATATAGATGGCAGCACACGCTCCTCATAGTCCGTACCAAGTTGTCGGTACATTTGTGGGAGGGCGGTATTCAGTGGTCTTGACAACACACGTAGGGAAATGTTCACCATCTGTAAATCTAAAAAATACAACAATCTTTACACGAGTTCAGAATTTTAAAAAATTGCTGATGAAATGAACAGAATATTATGGGATAATACGTGGCACAGCCAAGCAAAAGGAGGGGTAATTCAAAATTTTCAAAATTGAGTTTTGTACATATTATGAAACCAGACATTATTATCTTCAAAATGCAAAAAAAAAAATCACTTTGATATGATAGTTATGGCGAAGTTATGGGCAATCAAAATTAGGATAATTGGTAGGGTGTATTTTGAGAAAACTGGCTTTGAAAATCGCTCTCTAATTCTCTAGTTAGCAATGGGTATTTATTTTTTACAGAATTGGTTAAAACTTGGCACAATTATTCATTTATTATATTTGTTCCAAATTTGGATCCATTTGAGCAGGTACAGTATAAGTGTTCTAATAAAAAGTCTTCATTGATGGGCCTAGGCATAGGTCCTTGATTCGTACAACCATCGTTAGGAAGAGTACAGGAGAGAAGAGAAAGAGTAACAGTGCCGCGGGCGCTATCATTGGCATTGCCATTTATATCTTAATCATCAACATCATCTTCATCATTGGCGCCATCCGATATTTCTTCATCATCATTATTCTCTTTACTAAGTAAAAAATCATTAATGACGTAATCAAACTCGGCACACGTTTCATCTCCATGTACTGTAAACGTTTGTGATAAATCCGTAGCTTATTAGCAATCTCTTTGTCGTTATACATCACCGTTATTATACAGTCGTTGAATTTCACTTTCGTAAAATGGCGCACTCGCTGAACATTTACTGAAAAGTTTGCACTTTAAATCACAATCTGAGCATGCGCAGTTACCCACACTGCATATCAATAAGTAGATTGACCAATCACATTGATTATTTTATCAACCGTCGTCAATGACGTAAGAAAATTGTGTACATGAGAAATATCGTCTTCTATTGGTTAACTTGGATTTTTATCACTAAAATAAACCAATGAAATGAAAGATTACTAAATTTCCTTTTTAACCATACTCAGCATGCGGGGATTGACGCCATATTCGGATAAAGAAAACACTAGTACGAAAAATGGCTATTCTGTGAGATCTTTTCTGCTAGAAATTTCTGGATATTATGTCTGTACGCTACATTAGGACAAGCTCAATTAAATCCATTTTTAGAGCATTTATCGATTATAAATTAGAGAAAGGTAAATGTACGATGAAAGTTAAATGTTATATGTATGTTTTTGAGATAAAAAAATGAAAAAAAATGACCGATTTCACGTTTGTGCATTTATTGGAAAACTGTCTGTGCGACTTAGCCCTCCTTTGGCTTGGCGCTGCCACGTTTGCTGCAAGAGATGCGAGTTTACATCTGATAGGGTTCACTCAGGGTGCCATGCCAAGGACTTGTGTTCACATCCACACAAACTCGTGCCCTGGAGGTTCAGGGAAGAACCTGGAAATAATGATCTAAAAATAACTACCAAATGTTTGTTTGTGTTTCACTAGTACAGTTGATGTAAATGATTTTCATTAAGCCTATAGTCAGGATTTTTAAAGCAGGGTTCTAATTTTTCACAAAAAGGCACTTTGAGACCTTGCCCACATCAGTCCCACTATGGCTGACATCCAGAAATGGCAAAAAAATGCCAAATTTCAAATATTTAGAGTGAACTTCAACAACTTCCATGCGAATGGTAGTTTTTAATAAAAATTTAAAAGGGCATTTCTTGAAAATATGGGTTCTTTCGAACCCTCTTGCTACGGGCTTGCTCTTTATGCCTTGGCATAATGATGGAACTAGGAAAAAAAAGGCTTGGCAGTCAACATGTTAACAAGGAGAATGGTTCCTTTGTGTTCTTGTTAAGATTAGAGCCATTTTTATGTGTGCACAGCATTGTTTATGCACATGGTGTAAACTTGGCCTTCACAAACCCTGGGCCTAGCTGTGTATCACTGCAGGATCGTTGTAATGGGCAAGTAAGTAGTGTTGAAAAAGGCTAAAATTGCCATTGCACAAGGCATACACTATTTTCTACTGCAAGCCCACTTCAGTGTTTGAGAAAATTTAAGCTTAACTCTCTTCAGAAAAAGCTAAACCAACTGTGCACGGTAGCATAGTAACAAAGTATGTAATTTCTAACCTTTGCTTCCTGTTGGGGAAGACAGCTTCCTTGGCCGAGACCTGATGTCATATATGATGGGGTACTGGAACCAAGGTATCCTAAAATGTAGGCCCTCAGAATAAATGTCTTGCTGTATGCCGCCAATACGACTGAAAATGATTGCTCGATGACCACCATCAACTACAGTGAGTTAAAACAGATATACTTGAAATTAAAACATAAGTACAGTAAATAGCACTTCATGTTAACAAGGCCCAGAAGTGCATCACAATATTAGTACCCCGTCATTGAATCAAACTCATCATGGATGGAACACATACTCAGCTCCCTGGGTAGAATTCCAATGTGTAGCTACGGTAGCACTCTGTGTCAGGAACCTAAAACATGTAAAAAAAACGATAATTTCAGCTTCTGTATGTGCGCGCGCGTAAAAATGCGAGTGCGGGACGAAAAATTACGAAATGCTCAAAATGACCCAAAACATACTCTAATTTAGTCAAAAAGTGATTTTGAGCATTTTAAAATTTTGACGCATGCGTACGCACATACTTTACTGTGGAATAAAAGTTTTAAAATTTTTTTATTACGCCCTGCACTGCTTTGAAATCTCAACAGATAAGTTATGTATATTTCTTCCTATAAACCTGAAGCATTTATCCATCCCATTTTACATTCACCAAAAAAATTTTATTTTTATTTCCTCCGCCATCTGGATGTTTTTTGCAAAACTATTTGCTAAATAAGAAAACAAAGTTTTATTTATTTTTTTTTTATTCCGCCCTCCTCTCTGATGATCTTTAAAATACTAAGTACGCAAAACAAGGAATAAAAAAAAAATCTCGCCTTAATAAAAAATACTACCAGTGATACAGATTAAAAATTCTTTGTTTTCTTGAACGTTCCGTGAAAACAATTTATTCTTCTACGGTTTAACAGTAATGACGTCTCACATGGTAGATCAGTCAGTGGAATAGATAGGCCCTTTTTATTGTCTAGGGTGTTGCATCATATATCAATTCTTCACCATGAATGATGGCATAGCAGTAGCATGGTTCTTTCCTTATTTTATTGCTTCGTTGAGGGCAGACTGTGCTGCACCCCTCTCAATTATGCTAGACTACTACAGCACTAGCCTAGGACTACGCTAGGCCTGGAGCGTAGTCATAGGCAAGCCTCCACACAAACGATGGGGCTGATTTACCTGTATACATTGACTCTTTAACTGCATATGCTAATGCTCCAGCACCTAATAACAGCTTGACGCCTGTAGTTAATCCAGATGGACCTTTACCCAGTCTTCCAAAGGCATCTTTTACTTTATCAGCCATTTCAATTACTTATCTACCTTTACTTCTTTAGGCCACGAGAAACGTGCTGCTCGCATGGACCGCTAGTCGATTGACAAATCTGTGGTCGTTGCTGCCCTCAACGCCAATTATAGGACGAGAAATGAGGGCGGCCTTTCATAATCAACAAACAGCTGGTCGATCGGTGTCGTCAAGAAGCGCGAGGGCTAGCCAAGTTGATAAAAATGCAGAAAAATGAGAATAATCATGGGGATTTTTCGCGGGTATATGAACGGGGGCTGAGTTTAGCAGAGGAGGGCAATACATTCACAGGCTTAGACTCTGATGATTCATTTCGTCCTAGATCATTGGAAACCACAGATTTTAGCAGCAGACGGCGTAGCGTTGGACAGATGACTGGAATGCATCGACAACGAGCCATCAGGTAAGCGAAACCAAAGATACTCTAGAAACAGAAGTTAACAGAAAAATACTAGGGCGGCGTGTACGGCTTGATGTAAAAAATTCTGCCAAACTTACATAAAAACGGTGGATACATAACCTCCTTTTGCGGATTTAGAAATCGTTGCCATTATCCATAAGATACAAACAAGCATACAAACCAAGAGAATGTAATGACAGACGCATATTATTAACACTTGTACTATAAGAATTCGATCCAACTCGGCCACAAGTCAACTCGGCCACAAAAAGTTTGGCTACAGTCAACTCGGCCACAAGTCATCTCGGCCACAAGTCATCTCGGCCACAAGTAGATGTGTATAAGAGACAGCACCAGTTGACTTGTGGCCGAGTTGACTTGTGGCCGAGTTGATTTGTAGCCGAGTTGACTTGTGGCCGAGTTGGCTGTAGCCGAACTTTTTGTGGCCGAGTTGATTTGTGGCCGAGTTGACTTGTGGCTGAGTTGACTTGTGGCCGAGTTGACTTGTGGCCGAGTTGACTGTGGCCGAGTTGACTTGTGGCCGAGTTGACCTGCACCCTACTATAACACTACAGTGGAATGTATTTCTGAGTTTTCCAGACAATAAAACTCTTGAATCTTTAGAATTGTATGACTGATATAGGGATAAATTTTCCATCATTAGCGGAAAGAGAAGGGCGCCGCGTACGTCTGGACCAATTTATTTCTGCCTCATTTTTGCTATACGAGTTATATCGATTCTTGTGTTATCTTTGGCGAAACCCATGAATCACAATGTATGTACAGCATGACCGTTGGCGTTAAAGACATTAATACAGGCTTACATGTACTTAGGCCTAAATTATTATACTACAGTACAGTATAAACAATAGGCACACATCTATGACAAGACCGAAATGTAATATGACGGTAGGCATACTGTACTATACACTGGCCCAGGCTGACAAGCGATATTGGAGCATTTGTGATTCAATTTCAAGTTTCATTCATCATTAAAAAGATAAAATAAAATTTACATAAAAAATCCACATCAATCAATCGACAAGTTTCATCCATAGTGATTGATTTGTTTCACGTCTAGCCGGAGTTGGATTCACTGTACAACGCAGTAGGTACAGTACCCAGCTTAAGTCTGTGTATTTTGCAGAGGTTGTCATTTTTGCACCACCTTCGCACTTATGTTTTTTAATTGTGCTGATGCTGATCTCAAAAGAGGGTATTAAAAATAGTGGCAGAAGTGTATATTGGCCCTTAAATTAAATACGGTACACATTGGTTTTTCGGCGGTTTGACATTAATTACTACTGTACCACTAAACAAGACACGTTGCATAAAGGTGCAGTGGGTTAACGCTATGTTGCATGGAACCAAAGGTTGTGAGTTTGAATCGCATCTTGGTGTTTATTAAAAACTTTTTTTTTTGTATGATTCATTCTATTTGACAAAAAAAATTGGAAGAGCTATAAAGATACCTAAATTTTAAAATGATTAGAATGTTCATTTTTACAAAATGAAAATGTGCAAAAATTAAAAATCTAATTCGAACTAACGACCTTTGGTTCCTTAGAATGTTAACCAATCACACCATCCATGCCATGTGTAATAATTAGTGGATGGCATCCTGTTTTGTTTTGTAAAGGCCAACTCAGACAGCGCCGGCCGACGCAGCCCGACCCGATTTATCGTCGGGGACAGTCTTAAGCCGTCGTGAGAAATATTAAACATGTTTAATATTCTTCTACGCGACTGCCCCCGACGCACACCATCGTGTCTGCGTTCAACTCACACAGACCCGACGCGACAACAAATCGCGTCGGGCTGCGTCGGCCGACGCTGTCTGAGTTGGCCTTAAGTATACTGTATTATTATTATTATTATTAACTTAAAAAAGGGTCCATAAACCTTTGTTGGAAATCCCCTCTAGTTAATGTGTACAAAATTTCCTGCACGTCCGTTCAAAACTGACGAATGCACACCTAAAAAGATATATTAATCAATTAGCATTATAATAAAGGCATTATTAGTATATATTGGCCCTACTGTATTAACGGCTGGCCATACAAAAAAGATCTATTAATCAATGACCAAAAAAGATCTTATACTAATCAATCAGCCGAAATAAGATGTTTTTGTTTTTTTTCTGCAGGTAGCTTGAGCCTACAGTATTGTAAGTTAAAAGCTAATCACTATGCAACCTACTGCTAATCACTACCTGCAGAAAAAAAAACTAAAAAAGGAATCAATGTACTGTACAGACTCGGGCACTCTTAGAGCTCCTCATGGCTCAAATTTGCGCAGAAATTGCCACTAAAATAGAATTGTAGCTACAGTACTGCATATTGGTTATATACAGTATTAAGATTAGGTCAACGTCTAATTTTCGGCAAAATCTGCATGGAAATCGCCACTTATTTACCGAAATGCGCGAACAGATTTCTTTGCTTAAATTCTGCGCTATTAAGGATTCTCCGCACAGGCCTTATACCACTGTACTTTTGGTACCACTTTTTGTGTGGGCCACTTGACAGATTGGTACTGTGTACCTCAAGTGATTACTTTACTACATCAAGAAAATGCATACATTATGAAAGAAAACAATGTTTAACAATAGTGGGCAGGCTACAGTAAGCCTGACAAATGTCAACATTGTTATTAACTCTCCTTTTTTATCCACGTTCACTGGAGCATTAAATCGCTGCAAACTAAATTACTTTTTCTTGAGTTTTATTTAGTTTTCTGAGATCCTCTTGCATAGGCCTGCTCCTTTCATCACTTTTTTGCCAACCACACAGCTTTTTTACATAAATTTATTTATTTATATTGTACTTGCTTTTTTGTAATTAAAAAAGTAATGAAAAAGCATTAACAAAATTATTTTTTATTTATTTCAGTATTAAGCTCATTTCAATGTTAAGTGCAGAATTTTTCAAACGGGGACCATACATTTTCAGAATATATAAGTGGCACTTATTTCAATAAAACATTGATAGTAATGAAATGATAAAATTTAGAGGCGAAAGGGAGGGCGGCATGTGCCCTGTGCCCCCCTACTGGATCCGCGCCTGCAATTTACTTTGCCTCTGTAATTGTTCATAATATTGACAAGTTGACATACAGTTCAAACATAAATTGGCATGCTTACAGTTACACTACTGTATCATTGAACTTTCTGTCTGAGCGTAAGTCTACATTTATTTATAAAAATAGGCTCCCAGCTGAAACATGCGTCTAATGCTTTACATATGTGTATATGTATATGATTTTTTGGCTACTTTTTCCATACTTTCTGTGTTGGCAATTCGCAGAATAACTGTACAAGTATATACCAGATTGTTATGATTTTTTAGTGAACTTTCTACAGTAGGGACATGTCTTATTTAACAGTTTTTTGTGTTGTCAATTCAATCGATAACCTGCTAACTGGGGCAAGTCTTATCTAGCATGGCAGCATATTTCGTAGACTCGCTTTTCATTTTTATCTTTAGCTCATGACCCATTCCATCATTCATCCACTGGGTTTACTCTACCGGATTTACTCTTACAAGGTCAACTGTCTTCAGGACACAAAAACCCTTTATCATTGATAACTAGGGCAGTACCTATGCCAAACTGCCGATTTGGCACTGCTAAAGTGCGAAGAAAGCTGCTGTAAATTTCTATCGGCACTGCCGCAGTGTGAAAAAGCTGCAGTTTTCTATCTGCGCTGCCACAGTGCGAAAAAAGCTGTTATTGGGGCATTTCACAGTATTTGGTTTGTGAGGGTTAAATTTTCATTTTCAATGTATTAATAATGAATTTTGGATAATTCTCAAAGTAGGTACAGTATATCAAAATTTGGTAAAAATGTATTGTGAAATACGAGGTAAGATGATATCAAGAGTTGTGTATATATTTTGAAAAGATGTTTAATTTATATTAATTTTTACCAGTATTTCTAAAAACAGTTTTCCACAAATGCAGTCGCTCTAATCAAGTTTTTTTTTTATTGATTTTCAAATCAAGAAATTTTATTTTAATTCAAAACTTCAACAACAAAGTAAATTCAGCACTATGACGCTGCGAGTTGTGGTTTATTCTCCTACCCTTTATTACCTTAATTCCCAAATAACCAAATTTTTTTTTTAGATAAAGTTATTTTTCATTTGTTTCATTGAAAGTTCAAGATCAAGCATTCTTACAAGTTAAATACTGCCCTCGTTTTAAGACACACAAACTTTAATACAAGTTACCTCAAATTACAGGCCTGATTATTATAATTTTTTGATCAACTTTGCTGTTTGCTGCCCCCATGAGACATACTTTTTGGTGCCTCTGCAGAATACAGTACAGAATACAGTACAGTAGTGTTCCAAAACATTAAGTTTGGTTTCCAACAATTAAGATATACAGTATTCATTTTTAGTATTTATTTGATTTCTGAGAAGATAATCGATATTTAATATACTGGTTGTATGTAATTATTATAATTATTATAAGGTTATATTTTAAGACAATTCAACTATAGGCTACATACAGTACTGACTGGAATTTAAGCTCAATGGACTTAATCTTGAGAAGAAGCCCACCTCGAATTAAAGCCCCCTTCTTTAGTTTGCAAAACTAGCCTCGAAAAGAAGCCCATGGGCTTAATCTCGAGAAGAAGCCTATCTGGAATTGAAAGCCCCTTTATTTTGCAAAATTAGCCTCGCAAAGAAGCCCATCCCAAGAAGCCATGGGCTTCTTTTTAAGATAGCAGGCTTCTTTTTGAGATAGTACAGTATATACACGGTACATGAATATTTCAGAGAAACAAAATATATTAAAAACATGCATGGTTTACACAGTAGTAGGTGATTTAATGCTGGTTAATACACTCCATGATACAGATTGACGTTACAGCGGCCCTATTTATTGTTTTATAGTAGGCCTAATTCCACAAATTTACAGCATTCATTTTGAAAAGAAGCTCCCCTCTTTACTTTGCAAAAGTGGCCTATCTTGAAAAAAAGCCCATCCAATTCGCCAAGAAAAAAAAGCAGCCCAAAGCTTCAATTTGAGTTTTTACGGTATCATGGTGAGGCATATACATAGGACAGATACCGGTGCTGTAAAAATGATCATCATAATTACATTTGTTTTAAATTACTATTTCATGAAGGTCGGAGCACATTGCTTTTTTTAAATCTTACATTTTACAATTACTACAATAAGTCTAGAAAGAAGAAGGAATGTGAAGGGAAAATATGGGTACATTGTGCTTCATAAAAGTTATAAATAGTTCTGAAATAATCTCTAGAATAAAGAAACTAAAAAATCTGTTTATTTTATTTTATTTCTATTGGACATTTGTAGTGATGTAGTGCTGGATGGTGGGCAGAGGTGGGCGGGGCCACCCAGCCTTCCAGGCAGTCTAAAGCTAATTTCATGGCCCTCCACCCACCCTTATTAACCCACTTTTCCATCCTTAAATTCTACTCCTATGATTTAGATAAATGTTATCACCCATCCACCTTTAAATTTACTATCATCCATCCTTAGTTTTTCTACAGTACAGCTACAACACTTATTTGTTGAAAGCTCAAGAGACCTTGTACTACATTTGACACTATAAATACTGTACAAGTCTACCACCATAAAATTTAAATTACACGCTCACTATTCCATTTTGCAATGCAACAGTTTGCCCATACAGTAGTTTTTATATCCAGCCTACATTTTCTTCCAACCACCAGCAACTTACTCAGCATCTAATTTTCTATTTTTGCACTACATTAATTCATTCTTGCTGGCACTCTCACATCCTTTTCTATTCGTATTTGTTCTGTTATCAAAACCAGTTTTGATATTATACAGTATTCCACCACTTGCAGTAGGCTGTGTGCTGTTGCCACTGTGAGCTCAAATCCAATTGTGGTGTTTGTCGGGTGTCTAGCCATGTAGCAGTTCAAATTCCATCCGTACAGTACTAGGATTGTTGCAAGGTACAAGTGTTTGTTGATATCATACAGTACCATTTTATTACTGATTGCACATTCATGTTGATATCAACATAGATTTTCCTGCTAGTTCGCAAGCCTCGGTGTCTTTTGACACCGCCTACTGTACTGTTGCTCTAAATAAATCACCTTTGATACGACTGTTGTAGATATATTTTTATATCTACTATTGTACTGTAGCCTACTGTATTGATTGCTGTTAATACCTTTCTGTTTTCCATGCTGATGATACAGTACATACATACATCATTGTTGATATACTGATGCTGTATTAATACATTTTCATTCATTATTTTTATTGATATTCAAGAACGGATTATTATCAGGAATCAGACAGACAATCTATACTGTGATTGTCATTCAATAAACTCTTGATTATACTTCAAGTGAGCTTTTATAGTATTCACTAATACCCTTTTCTACCTCCACATCTACCATACATTTAGGAGCACACAACTTGTTATTGATTCTACCGTACAAGGATATTGTGACTTCTGTAATTTTTGTAGGTACTGTACTGTCTTGCAATTATCATGACTGTTTGAAACAATTTTTAAACTAGGAATGCTCATAATTGTGGGTAGATGATGATACATAAATAGATCACTTGGGAAACATTGTAATCGCCAACTGTGTTAATGTTTATGAAAATTATTAGCAGACTATAAAAGAGGATAGTTGGACAGTACTAGTAGTACACCTGTTAAGACTATCTGAAGCCTGTGGATTTGGTGAACAGTTTATTGACGGAGCTGTTACAACACCATGATGATTATTGAATTGTGCTGAGTCATTGTGTGTCACCAGCGAGTACTGTACAGTATGTATAATGATATGATATCATATGATATTTGTAATCATTGTTTTCCACTGGGTCACTTTAGCAGTATATTTGGTTAAATTCATTCTGTAGACAGGTAAATTTAGTTGATTGCAGATACTTCTAGGCCTGTGCACTTGGATCATTCTTAGGCTGAAATTTGGTAGTCTGCACACCTTGCTTGCAGGGACATTGATTTTTCCCCCTTCTGGATACTTTGAAAATTCTTTCATACCTACATATTTTCCACTGACGTTTATTAAAAGATTTCTGAAGCCAAGGAGAGTCAGTGAAGTCCTACTTGTAAATGGATTTTAAAATATAATTAAAACCATAGAAATGCAGGTTAGAAATTGTCACCTACAGATGGCTACAAATTGAAATGGAAGTTAACTATGGACAGACGTTTGTTGGATGATAACATTGTAACCAAGAAACAAGATATAAGAGATGACAGGAAGATTGTATCTAAATGCCCAACATGTTTGAATGATGCTAATATAATTGTTGCCATGGAAGCTGTTACGACAAATGACACTAATTTTCTTGCAATGAAGACAAGTTTGACTGATAATAAGTCATCTGAAACTCAAGTTGAAGGAGGGTGAGTTTGAATACTTTAGTTTTTTCAGGTCACACATAGGTTAATTGCTGCAGGTGGCCTAATGGTAATTTGATGCAGCCAGGAAAATATATTAAAAACTCTACAGTACCTGTATGTAATACAGTATTATGAAACCCTACAGTATGTGTGTGGCCCACCTCCTTCTTCTTGCTGTCTATCGTATCCGATAACGACTAGGTGGGTAGTTCTGGGTGTTTTAGCCGAACATGCAGGCGTAATTCCTTTTTGTTTTGGAAGGATCGTGTACAGTGTACAAATTTTGTATCCTCCCGTTTTTTTGTCTTCTATAACGTCTGCTTCTTGCTTGATAGCCTTTCTCCGTGCTGGGCGTTCTTCTGAGCTAACTCTTTCCCTGCCAACGTCAATATATGTTGTGTGGTTCACCTACCACCTTTGGGTAATGTAAAACAATTTGAACAGCCCAATGTCAATCATTAGAAAAAGAATTTATTAAAAACAGCCTGAGCATATAGTTAAAAGGCCCTTGGTTTTAAATCAAACTTTCACTTTGGCCCTAAAATCTATTTTATGTACAAAAAATTAAAATGTGTGATGACAGAGCACAGGCCTGTAACCAACCTGGGTGTTGAGCGGGATGGATTTAGCGGAACTCACTTTGTGGGTGGAAGATCAAGGTGGTTTCTCTGGAGTGTCCCAGGGAGAAAAGTATTCATTTAAAATAATAACGTAAAACCTCGAATTGAAGCCCAATGTGCTTAATCTCTAGAAGTTTTCGCGAATTGAAGCTCCCCCCCCTCCCACCTTTTAGTTTGCAAAAGTTGCAAAAGTAACCTCGAAACGAAGCCTGTTTCAAAGTTAAACCAAATAAATAAAAAATATGCTTGGTTTATACTGTAGTTTAGTGCCGGTTATATACTCCATGATACAGATTAATGTTACAGTGACCCTATTTATTGTTTTATAGTAGTGATTTTCCAAAATTTACAGCATTCATTTTGAAAAGAAGCCTCCCTCTTTATTTTGCAAAAGTAGCCCCGAAAAGAAACCTATCTTGTTAAAATGCCCATCTTGAAAAGAAGCCCATACAAAGTTCGCAAAAAAACTAAGAAGCCCAGGGCTTCAATTCAAGGTTTTACCGAAGTTTGGACTTGATAGTGTATCATGCATAAAAAAAATGCCTACAGTACTGTATATGCGCTTGAAAAGTCTGCATTTTCCAATATTTTGTCTCATGAATTATGTACTGGTGGTAATTAGAGCATCACTAGTAAATTGCCTTCTAGAGAATAGTGGTTTTTAAAGTCCAATATACAGTAGTACAGTACTGATTACAGGACCTTCTACATCTCCTCGCGTGGGCCACGAGAGTGATTGGCGTGGGACTCGCGAGCGATAAGCTAATGAATAACTAATGACTAAGTGACCTATATGACATCTGTTTATCCAAGCATTACGGCATTGAGTAAAAATCAGGCTCCGCGAACCGCTACCTATTTCTCGATACCAACGATGTTGTTTA